GTTGGGCAGGGACCCTCCTGCTCCACGGCACATGCATCAGGACATAGGACAGGGATCCCTTGCTCCATATTACGTGGACCCCATACTCCATGGGACAGAGTTCCCCTCCTTCTTGGGACACGGGTCCCATGCTCTGTGGAACACAGATCCCATGCTCTGTGGGTCAGGGATATCCTGATCCATGGGTCAGGGATCTGAAGTGCCCCAGTGCTCATGCTGTGGTTCCATGGGAACGCTGAGCTCCTGCCACACTCCCCAGGCCACCGCTCACCCCTCAATGACTTCCAGCGCCTGCGAGCCACCGAGCTGCTGGCGGTGCCCGTGGACCCACCGCCACCGCTGCCGGAGCAGGGCACTGCGGAGCAGTGTGCCCAGCGCTGTGCCACCAGCCTGGCTTGCCGGTGAGCAGGACACAGTGCCACCGCGGGGCAGGTGGGAGTGCAGGGGCCATAACACTGGGTCACTCTCTGCACTTGGATACTGGGTGCTCACATGTGTGACCCAGGTCCTGTGAGCCCTGGCCTCACACGGTGCCATGCCAGACTCCTGCTGTGCCTTCCAGTGCTTTCCACCATGACCAGCAGAGCCAGTTGTGCCAGCTGCTGCCTTGGACCCAGCACTCACCCCGCATCCAGCTGCAGAAAAACATCCGCTATGACCTGTACCAGAAGAAAGGTGGGCTGGTGCCATGCGTGGGTATGGGGACACCACAGGGCACGGGCCACCTGGCACAGGACTCCTCATTGCCCATGTGCCCTGACCCGGCCCTGGGGCTCTGAAGAGGTGCCTGGCTCTGCTCAGACTACCTGCGGGACTGCATTGTGGGTGACGGCTCCAGCTACCGCGGCACACGGGCCACAACGGAGAAGGGGCTGCGCTGCCAGCATTGGCAAGCCACGACACCGCATGACCACAGGTGCCCCCGTGTCCCTGGCTGTCCTGTGGCACCTACCCTGGGCAGCATGGGGCAATGGGGAATGGGGAATGAGGTGGGAACAGCGTGGGATAGCACAGGAGCAATGGGGACAGCTTAGGCACAATGGCACTGCCAGGGGTAGCGCATCATCCTGGCTGCACCCATTCCAGAGCAAATGATTCTTGGCAGCTCTCCTACCCACTCTACTGCCAGCAGGTTTCTGCCATCCCCTCGCAATGGGCTGGAGGAGAATTACTGCCGAAACCCTGACCGGGACAAGCGGGGCCCATGGTGCTACACTGTTGATCCCAATGTCCGACACCAGAGCTGTGGCATAAAGAAGTGTGAGGATGGTGAGTGCCATGTCCCAGGGCCACCCTGTGCTGTATGTTCCCCCCACACTGAGCCCTGCAGTTGTTGGCAGCTGTCTGCATGACCTGCAATGGGGAGGACTACCGTGGCACTGTGGACCACACCGAATCAGGGACAGAGTGCCAGCGCTGGGACCTGCAGCACCCACACAAGCACCCCTACCACCCCAACAAGTATTAACCCCGAGCCCCCAGCAGTGCAATGCCCTGGTTGAGTGCCCGGTGCTGGGGTGATGGTGCCATCTCAACTGCTGCTCCCTGTCTCTGGCCCAGGTACCCTGACAAGGGGCTAGATGACAACTACTGCCGCAACCCTGACAGCTCTGAGCGGCCTTGGTGCTACACCACTGATCCCAGGCGGGAGCGTGAATACTGCCACATCCGCATCTGCAGTAGGTCCCCACCAGCATGATGCACAGCTGGGCCTGAGAGTCCTGGGTGCTACCCCTGACCCTGCTACTCTGCCCCTCTCTCTGGCCACACAAGCAGAAAAACGCCCACGGCCTGTCAATGTCACCAATGGATGCTTCAGGGGCAAGGGGGAAGGCTACCGTGGCCGTGTGAATGTTACCGTGTCGGGGATCCCCTGCCAGCGCTGGGACTCCCAGGTGCCCCATAAGCACCACTTCGTGCCCAACAAGTACCCATGCAAGTAAGGGGATGGCTGTGCACCCCAGGAGGGTGGTGGTGGGCAGCACCCATGAGTGTGGGATTGAGGGGGGACAACCGTGCGGCCCCTCCTGCAGGGACCTGCAGGAGAACTACTGCCGCAACCCCGATGGATCAGAGGCACCGTGGTGCTTCACTTCCCGCCCCACTGTCCGCATCGCCTTCTGCTTCCACATCCGCCGCTGCCCTGATGAGCAGGATGCCCAAGGTGAGTCACCCCAGGCACCTGTCCCTGGGTGCCCACCCCGGTGCCCCTGTGAGGGATGCCAGCCCTCCCTGCCTGTCCCCAGAATGCTACCACGGCCACGGCAAGAACTACCACGGCCACGTCAGCAAGACACGCAAGGGAATCACCTGCCAGCCCTGGGCTGCCCAGACACCCCACGTGCCCCAGTGAGTGTGCAAGGAGGGGTGGTGGGTACTGGGATGGGGATGGGATTGAAGTTGAGGTGGGGATGGAGGTGAAGATGGGGATGGTGACAGTGATGGTGACTGCCTCCTGGCAGGATCTCGCCTGCCACACACCCTGAGGCGCACCTGGAGGAGAATTACTGCCGCAACCCTGATAATGACAGCCATGGCCCCTGGTGCTACACCATGGACCCCCGCACCCCCTTTGACTATTGTGCCATCAAGCCCTGTTGTGAGCCCCTACCCACATCCCTGCAGAGCTAGAGGGGACCTTAGCCACACACAGGGTAGTTTTGGTCCCCTCAGGGTGGCTGGATCATGTGCCAGTGCCACCCTATGTTTTCTCTCTGCAGCTGGCAGCACGGTGCCCCCCATCATGGAGAATGCAGGTGGGGGCCCCCAGGTCCTGGGTGGGCACCCTGGGGTGGGTGCTGGTGGTACAGGCCCGGCTGATGCCAACCCTGCCCACAGATGCAGTGACATTTGAGCAGTGTGGCCAGCGGGACGAGAGGCTGCAGCAGAAGGGGCGCATCGTTGGTGGCCAGCCTGGCAATTCACCCTGGACTGTCAGCATCCGCAACCGGTGAGTGGGAGTCCGCATGCAGTGCCGTGTACTCAGAGTCCCCCCAGAGCTCACCCCCTGTCCCCGCAGGGAGGGTGTGCACTTTTGCGGCGGATCCCTGGTGAAGGAGCAGTGGGTGATCAGCACTCGCCAGTGCTTTTCCTCCTGGTAAGGCTGGGGCTGGGGTGTGGGGTGGTGGGTCCCCCTGTGCCCTCATGTCCCTCATATTCCACAGCAATGCCGACCTGACGGGCTATGAGGTGCAGCTGGGGACTCTCTTCAAGGACCCTGGCCCTGGGGACCCTGACCAACAGACCATCCCCATCGTGCGGATCGTCTGTGGCCCCTCCGAGTCCCAGCTGGTGATGCTGAAGCTGGCAAGGTGAGTGGCCATGCCTTGGCCTCTGCCATGCTCCACTGCTGGCCAGGCTGGCACCATGTCCCACTGCCCCTCTTGTCACAGGCCAGCTACTCTGACCAGGCGTGTGGCCCTGATCTGCCTGCCCCCCGAGCGCTACGTTGTGCCTGCGGGCACTGTCTGTGAGATCGCTGGCTGGGGGGAAACCAGAGGTACCTGCCACGGGCAGCCCCTGCTGGAGGATTCCCTGTTCAATACAGCCCCTTGCCAATGCCATTCAATCCCCTCTGCCCACAGCATCCCCATGTCTATGGCATCTCCCTGCCCACAGCATCCCTCACTTGAAGTATCCCCTGCCTGCAGCAACTCCCAGGTCCCTGGCATTCCCCTGCTCACTTCCATGGTGCTTTCCTGCCCATTCCATCCCCCTGCTTAGAACACCCCTTGCCCCTGCCCATTCCATCCCCCCGTCTACAGCATCCCTTGCCCCTGGCATCACCCTGTCCATGGCATCCCTCTTCCACAACATCTCCCTTCCACATCCCCCTGCCATGACATCCTCCTGCCCGTGCCCTTCCCTGCCCACAGCATCCCCTGCCTGTGCCATTCCCCTGCATCCCTGCATGCCCAGTGCTGTATCCCATGCCCGCTGCTCCATGCTCTTGGCCCACAGGCACAGCAGACGGCAGTGTGCTGAACGTGGCGCAGCTGCCAGTGCTGGCCCACAGCGAATGCAACAGGGCTCTGCGTGGGCGCCTGAAGGAGAGCGAGCTGTGCACTGCCCCGCTGCGTGCCGGCGTGGGTGCCTGTGAGGTGAGCTGGGGACATCTGCCCCAGGGAGGTGGCAGGTGCTGGCACCAGAGTGACACCGCTCTCTTCATGCCACAGGGTGATTATGGTGGACCTCTGGCTTGTCTCACCGCTGACTGCTGGGTGCTGGAGGGGGTGATCACCCCCTCCCGTGTGTGTGCCCGCACTGATCAGCCTGCCCTCTTCATCCGTGTTTCCCTCTATGTTGACTGGATCGACAAGGTGATGAAGATGGGTTGAGCTGGCATTCCCAGCCTGCCACAGCCACCACTGCACAATAAAGGCACAGCCTTGGCCACAGGGGTCGGCACTGCACAGGGTCTCACATTTATTTAACACCAAACCCCAACACACATCCCTCCCCCCGGCTACACTCCCTCCATCTGCCTCTGGTTCTGGTGTGGTCCCCAGGGCCAGCAGCCACCCAGAGGCTGGCATAGCCCAGGACCACTGTGGGCATTAGGGGCTGTGCCAGCCTGCCCCATCCCGCCTGGGTTGCCCCAGGTGCTGGAGGAGCCAGTGGGCAGAGTTCTTGAAGACATCAGCCTCCGTCTCCACACCAGCCAGTGCATGGCCACCCTCTGGGTACCACAGCAGCCTGTGGGGAGGGACAGGATGGGAAGATGCTCATCCAACACCCCAGAGCTCCCTCCCTGCTCCCACCAGCACCCCACTCACCGTGCTGGCACACCCCTGGCCCGCAGCACCCGGTACAGCTCCAGTGCCTGTGTGGGGCTGACGCGCCGGTCCCGGGCGCCCACGCACAGCAACACAGGTGTCTCCACCTGCAGCAGTGCCCTCTGTGGGTGTGGCACCCCACAATGGGCACCCCACACCCATCCTGACCCTGCCTTACCTGGGCTGCCTGGGCGATGGGCGAGCGCAGTAGCATGGTGGCCACCTCCTCAGCACATGGCACCCGCTCAAAGGAGTAGGGCAGCCCCAGGGAGGTGTAGCGCCTGCGGCACAGAGACACCGGTAGGTGTCACAGGGACATGGCATGGCACAGGATGGGGGGTGGCACTCACCAGTCAGGGATGTCAGAGGTGCCCAGCAGTGCGGGCAGGTTGGAGACGGGGCTGCGCAGGGCACAGGCTTGGTAACGCTTGGGCTCACGGGCGAGGAGGTGGAGGGCGATGAAGGCTCCGTGGGATCCAGCCAGCAGGGCCAGGCGGTGCGGGTCCAGGGGCTCTCTGTGCAGCGCCTGCTCCACTGCCAGCTGCACCAGTGGGGCACCCACCATTGGCACCCAAACAGCAGCATCCTCCCAGCAGCATCCCCCCAAGCACCCCCAGCACACCTCACCTGGGTGTCTGCCACATCCTGCTCACCCACACGGGAAAGCAGGGAGCTGATGCTGGCCTGCCCGAAGCCCAGGGAGCCACGGTAGTTCACTGAGGAGACAGGGCTGTGGGTGCCATGCCTCCACTGGGACACAGGGCCACATGTCCCCGAGCTCCCCAGCACTCACCCAGGAGCACGGCGAAGCCCAGCTGGCACAGTGCAGCCATGCTCGGACGCCAGCGGGCATCAAAGACAGCGTGGGGACCACCTGGGGCCGGCATGGGCATCACCTGGAGTGCCACCAGCACTGCCAGGGTGTTCCCACTCTCCCCTCACTCACCATGGGGGCACACAACGAGTGGGTACGGTGGTATGCCATCTGAGGGGCTCAGCAGCAGGGCCTCAAAAGCCTGGGTGTCTGCACCAGAGGAAGGGGTCCCACTCAGCAGCTGCCACCCTGGGCACCTAACATCCTGCCCACACCCCGCTCCCAAGGGTCCCTGGCACCCAGGCAGCACCAAGGTGCAGCAGGGGCCCCCAGGGGCTCACTCTGTGCAGCAGGGCCCTGCCCATTGCAGGGTGGCTGGACCGTCAGAGTCTTCCAGGTGATACCAGGCACTGTTGGGGTGTCCTCCACTGATACCCAGCCAAGGGGCAACTCCTGGCCTGCTGGCGGCAGTACAGCCACCACCTGTGCACAGTCAATGGATGACACTGGGGCTGTGCCATGACAAGATTTTGCCATGCCAAGGCTGTGTCATATTTGATCTGCCCGTGCCACACCACACCACGGCGTGTGTGCCACACTGTGCTGTGTCTGGCTGCACATTGCTGTACCATATCCCACTGCACCACACGGTGCCAGGGCACTGCTCACCAGGCTGGGGGGGTGGTGGGGGGCTGAGCAGGTGGCCACCAGCAGGTCCCACTGGAGAGTGAGAAGCTCCCAGCACCCTTCAGATGACCCTGGGGACAGAACACATGTTGGTGGTCACAACTGTTCACTAGAGCACCATGGGTGGCCGGTGCCATGTACCTGCTGTCAGGTTGGTGACAGTGGATGCCTCCGTATCGACGAGCAGCAGGTCCTGTGAGGGAGCAGACCACAGGCAGTGGTGTCACCATGGGGTGTGTGGCTCACATCCCTGGCCCTGCCATCGCCAGGACTCACCGTGCGGCTCCGCTGAGGGGTGCCCAGCACGGCTCGCCGGCTGTCAGCTGCCCAGCACTGTGGTGGCAGCACCTCTGTGTAGAGCCCAGCAAAGGCTGCAAGTGGGGCAGAGCACTGGGCTAGTGAGCCAGGGCAATGGGCACCTGGCAGGGGGTGGTGCCAGCCCCCCATTAGAACCCAGCTGCGCCCATGCCTTGCTCACCCTCTGTGGGCTCCTGCACCACATCAAGCACCGTCACTGTCTGCCTTGTCTGCCAGGTGAGCTGGGGAGAGCCAGTGCTCAGGGATGGAACCATGCCAGGGGAAACTGAGGCAGGGAGGCTTGGGGACAACCCCACCCCAACCAGGCACCACGAGAGGCTGTGACACCTGGGCTGGCCACTGTGCTGGCAGCACAAGGTGGACCAGCCGTGCCTGGTGCCCATGAGGCCCAACTCACCATGCGCAGGCGCAGACACTGCCGGTGGGCCCCCCCCACAACCCCCTCCAGGTAGAGCAAGCGCTGGCCATCAGGGCTCAGCCGAGGGGAGCAGACAGAACAATTCTCTGCTGACAGCAGCTCTGTGGGCACAGGGGTCAGCATCCCAGGGACTCCCAGGGACCCCCAAGGCACCCTCCAGAGCCCCAGCACTCACCGCAGCATCCGCTGGCCAGGTCCAAGTGGAAAATCCCTGACCTGGGAGGAAAGAGTGGGTCAGGTTGGACCCCCACTGTGCTGATACTGCATGGCAATCCTGGCATGGTGCTGGGTTGCTGTCTGGTACCCACCTCCTGTTGGAGCAGGCGCTCAGCCCCAGGCGGAAGGGCTTGTGCCACCATCCCACAAACACCACACCATGGTCATCCGGGGACCACAGGGCCTGTGTGACAGTCAGGCTCATCCCATGGCTCCAGGCTGGATCCCCTGGGGTGCTCCCTGCACCCAATCCTGACCTGGCCAGGGGAGAGATGCTCCGGGACTCCCTCCAGTACTGACAGGCTGAGGCCCTCCAGGTCCAGGACACAGAGGACTGGCATGCTGCGTGTGCTCAGGGCCTCCCCCCAGTCCTCGTGGTACACAAACTGCTTACCCTGTGGCACAGACCCATCAGCCCCAAGGTTGGCCACCCCAGGCATGGAGCTCTGTCCATGACACACTCATGGGATGTATGGCACACTCACGGGGTGCACAGCACGTTCAGGGGGTGCATGCCTAAGGGGCATGTGCCATGTTCATAGCCTGCATGGCATGCTTGGGGGTGCACTGAACAACTCATGGGGCACCTACCTCCTCATCCTCATCCTCTGCTGCTGGCCAGGCTGCTCCTGGCACATCCCAGGGGCAGGGGGGCTGTCGTTCGGGTCGGCTCTTCTCAGCCACATAGAGGAGCCGTGTCTCCGAGTGTGACCAGGACAGGCAGGCAAAGGGCCCTGGCATGGCAGGAGGGTGCCAAAGCCCAGCCTGGCACAGGCACAGCTGGGCATCAGGTAGCCACCAGGGATGCTGGCCATGCCAACCTCACCGCTGCTGTGGGTGGGGACCATTGGGAAGGGGCCCTACCCTCCGTGTAGACGTCCCCATGCTTCCCCAGCGCCGTGAGATCCACGCTGTGGCTGCATCCCCCGCTGTCCCACACCTGGGGGGACGGGCGTCAGCGCCGGCACACCGTGTACACGGTGCCCACCACCCTGCAGTGGCACTCCAGCCACGCCGGTGAGTGACCGGGACAGCCGCGT